GATTCAGACTAGATATGGAATTAAATTACCGTGCAGAGTACAGTCAGAAAACAGTTGCTAGCCCTTCTATAGGAGAAATGCTAAAGTCAGGATCATATTTATATGGAATATTTATAAACAACAGTAATAAATATTATTCTCAAGAATTTAATCTAAGTTAAGGGCTTGAGGTAGGGCTTGACTTATGTAGATGTTCTTTCACAAATGGAGAAAATAAGGCACGAACATCATTAAGTGTTTTGCACAAGGTCATAGAGCAAGCGTATGGCAGAGCAGGCGCTAGAACTTAGATCTTCTCTCCGTTTAGTGGCTAAAGCCCAGAACTCTTTCAGGAAAAGTGGTTGATGTTTGTAAATATTAATGTTTTGACTGAGCGTACCGTACTCCTTTTGGAAGTACACCAAAATTAATTTTGCGTTCAATACAGGATTATCTGAGTGATCATAATACATCCCTAGTGTAATGTAGGCATGGGTAAATATAGTGGTAGCCCACCAGGGGCTAACCGTGGTGAACCCTCACCATGTTATTGCCTATCCCTGCTGTAAAGTGTTGTATGAGTAGCTTGTGTAATCCCTCCTGTTCACTAGCCCAGTGTGAGGTTATTCAGCACAGGGGAAGCCTTGTGACTTCTTATACAACTGTGGGAGACTAGGCCTGAGGCTCGTTGGCATGCTCTGTGTTTGTGTTAGTGTGTGCACCTCAAGACCAGACCCTCTCAAACCAGTGGGAACAGGCTTTATTCCGTGAAATACACAAAACAAGATCACAGTTTAGCAGCCCTTCCTTACTGCATGCAGCCTACACGCTGCTTCCAGCTCAGTCCCTACTGAGACCCTGCTGGGGCAGAGGGGACAGCCTGGCAGGAACCAGGAAGTTCTCCCAACATGCCGCAGTTTGTAGTCCACAACTTGTAGTTTCCAGGGCTGCTGCTGAAGCACACTGGACTTCGGGCTATGCTTGTATGGCTTTAATTGTATAATTATTTATGGTTCTCATTCCAGGTCATATGTGCAACTATTGCTTTTGGCATGGGAATTGATAAGCCAGATGTACGCTATGTTATACATGCATCTCTCCCTAAATCCGTGGAAGGTTATTATCAAGAATCTGGCAGAGCTGGCCGAGATGGGGAAGTTTCACACTGTGTGCTTTTCTACAGTTACAGCGACGTGACTAGGCTTAGAAGGCTCATACAAAGTAAGCCAAGGCTCCCATTTCTGATACAGCAAATGTTAAAATAGGAAATAACAAGGAATCCTATGGCACCTTAAAGACTTAACAGGTTTCAGCATAAGCTGACAAAGTGGATTTTGGCCTGCGAAAGTTTGTGCCAAAATAAATCGATTAGTCTTGAAGGTGTCACAGGACTCCTGGGTTCTGTGAATACAAAATAACATGGCTACCCCCTGGTACTTGTCAACAGGAAATAAGTAATTCAGTCGGTTTTTGTCCTGTCCTGTTCTGTTTAAAGACCTTCAGAATGCCATATAATATTGGACTGAGTCATTGTAGTAGGCAGAGTCCCCAAGCATGCTTTCATTGTTCCCTTCTGACGTTCTCAAATGTGGGAGGAGATGTCTTGGCTGACTTAGAATGGGTTTTTTTGGGCCTATGTGACTGACTACTTGTATCTAAGTCAGTGGTAGGGAACCATTTTTTGGGTCAGGGAATGCAAACCCACAGGAAAAATCAGTGTGCTTGCGCACAAGTTAGAAACAACCCCAAACCCCACCCCCAAAAACCCAGACCTCACTGACGCGGCCCCTGACTGAGAAGGAGAAAGACACTCCCCACATTCCCTTCGCATATCAGAGCCCAGAGAGTTCAAGCTATTAGATTTTGCAAGTTACAGCCCTGCAATGGGGGTGAGGTGAGGCTGGAGTACCAGCATGGGCTCCCCAATTCTGGGGAAGGGGAGCCCTGAACCTTGGGGGCCAGATCCAGGCAAGGCGTAGGTTCTCCATCCATGATCTAAGTGCTTGAGAGAATTTGATCGGTAATGACTTTAGCCTTTTTATATGTTGTGTAACAAATACAGTGAATGCATCCCTTTTATTCCAGTGGAAAAAGATGGAAACAGTCAAACAAGAAAAACCCACTTTGACAACCTTTATAGTATGGTTCATTACTGTGAGAATGTGCACGAATGCCGGAGAATACAGCTTTTGTCTTACTTTGGGGAAACCAGTTTTAATCTTAACTTTTGTAAGGAAAACCCAGAAGTAACTTGTGACAACTGTCGTAGAAAGAAGGTAAAACACTACCTCATCTGTAAATTTGAGCTTTTAAATTAGTGGGTTTTTTAACAAATCTTAAGAAAACGTGTGAATATATTCTAGAAGGCAGACACAGATGCTGAGTGAGATCCTTTTTGCCCTGTGATACCCAATGTTTAGAGCTGGTCTCAAGATGTAATCTAGAACAGATTTACACTAGCTACCTGTGGATCTCAGGAACTGTTCAGACAGCTGGGGGACTGTGAGGTTTAAGGATACTCTGGCACCACTTTTCTCCCAGCCATGCCTGTTGCCCACAGAGCTCTCTGTAGTGGCTATGCCACCGAGGAATTCTCTCCCACAAGTAGAATTCTGGAGTTGCTATTTAAGAGGGCTCGGAGGCAGCTTTATGCCACTTCACCATGGGTACCAATTTGGAATGGGTTGGGGAAGGATTTGAGAAACGGGGAGGGTTTGCAGTCTCCACATGTCAAGGTCTATTGACCAACAGATTACTAGTGTGAACAGATGCCAAACTTAAGAGAGGATGAATCTCTCAAACCTCCCCTTTTTCCATCTCCCCAGCTTTGCAGCTCAATCATGCATCTACTGATAGTTGGTTTTAAACATCTGGTGCTCTTAGTAATTCAACGGATGATATTTTAAAATACATATTCCAAATTTAATAATAAATCCACACATTAAAGGCTAGGTTTAATATATTCCCTTTATCTGACTTAATTTCTAAAAAGGTATTAAATATGTGTTCAAGAAAAGTTAAGAAATAGTTTTTTAAGGTGCCTTATAAAGAAATGTATTACCTTACGAGAAGAAAAGCCTAATTGCTGGGGGAGAAAGTGCAGGACTTTTTCTTACACAAAAATAAGTCTTCTGATTGAATTTAGTGTGCCTATTTTTAGAACTGCAAATGACTCCGAACACTAATCCCCCTAATACCTCAAGGTAGGTAAGTATGATATCATTATACTCAGGGCTTGACAAATCATTGAATCTACTTGCCTGGGGCGAGTAGATTTCAGCCGGTCGCCCCGTTCACTGGTGGCGTGCGCATGCGCAATGCAGGTCTTGCACATGCGCAGTGCGGGGCTGGCGAGAGGATTTCACTGCCGTTTGTCAAGCCCTGATTTTACAGATGGAATAATTGAGGCAGAAAGGTGTATGTTTCCATACTGAAGGTAGGTCTACACTACGAGGGCCAAGTCAACCTAATTTACACATCTCCAGCTATGTGAATACCGTAGCTGGAGTTGATGTACCTTAGGATGAATTACCGTGGAGTCTTGAATTCTTCACTTACACTTCTCATTCCAGTGGACTACAGAGAGTGATTGGCGGTGGTTTTAGCGAGTCTTCACTGGACCTGTTGACTCCTGGGAGATCAAATTGACATCAAATTGACTCCTGGGAGATCAGTTGCCCCGGCGCTGATACCCCCAGTTAGAGTAGACAAACCTTGAGTCAATATTATAGTCTAAAGCCAGGGTAAAGGAACCTTTTATATGGTTGGGGGCCACTGATCCACAGAAAAATCAGTCCACACACACACACAGACACACACAAACAAAAAAACTCAATGATGCCACCAACTGAGAATCAAACAACTCAGAGCGTCTGGGTCTCTTTGTGTTCCATCCCTGTGGAGGGGATGCAGCACTGGGGCTCAGGTCTTCACCCCTCCTCCCAGGGCCAGATTAACTCTTCTGTGGGCTCAGGATTAGTAGTTTTTGTGGGGGGGGGGAGAAGTGTTCCCCATAGCTCTGGAGTGGGGCCAAAAATGAGGGGTTCAGTGTGTGGGAGAGGGCTGCCAGGGAGCAGGCTGAGGGTGTGGGTTCTGAGGGAGAGGTTGGATAGGGGAGGGGGCTGAAGGGGTGGGGGCAAGGTCTGGTAGGGAATGAGGGTAATGCAGGGGGCAGAGGATGGGACGCTTACTTGGTGCAGCTCCGGGGGGTAGGTACTGGCTCTTATTGGCTGGCACCCTGTGTGTACTGGGTCCCACCTGCCTCCCCATGCTGCTGCCTTTTGTGCCTCCTCCCTCCCACCCTCTGCAGCTGCCTCTGATTGGAAGCACCGATGAGCTCAGGTTCATTGGTTAACTGTGTCCTCAGGTGCACATTCACATCCCTATGATACACCCATTTTATAGTAGCTCCAGCTAAGTTGTATTTTCCAAGTTTGTTTAAGAAAAGGTCATGAAAGACAGTATCAGAAGCCTTAGTAAATCCGAGATATATCACATCTATCTCTTCCCACCATCTACGGGTGCATCTACAGTGCACGGCTATTTTGGGATACCTCCGGTATCCCGAAATAGCTACCCTGCAGCTACACAAGCCGCCCACTATTTCGAAATATTTTTTGAAATAACGAGCATGCAATTTTGGCATCCCAGTAACCCTTGTTTCATGAGGGTTAAGGGATGTCTTGAAATAGCACGTTATTTTGGAAGGTGGCCCTATGTAGATGCGCCAAATTTCAAAATAAGCTATTTCAAAATAGATTGTGAATAAGTTACACAATTTGTGCTATGCAAATTGTGTATCTTATTTTGAGTTTAGGGTGCTGTGTAGATGCACTCTGCAAGACTTGTTACTGTGCTAGAGATAGTTGTTAGGTTGGTTTGACATGATTTGTTCTAGACAAATCCATGTTGACTGTTACTGATCACCTTATTATCATTTAGGTGTTTGCAAATTGATTGCTTAATCATTTTCTCTATTCTCTTTTTGGGTCCTGAAACTGTAATTCCCTGGGTTCTCCTTATTACCCCTTTTTATAGATTTGCACTATATTTGCCCTTTTCCACTCTTCTAGAATAAATCTTCTGTATCAGTTTTGTACAATAAAATGGCTTTGTTTCCAAGGGATTGCTTACTAACCTAAGATTCCTATGGCAGTGGCATTTCAGTGTAAATAGACAATGACTAATCTATATGTGGATCAGAATTAGCTTATGATTGAAAAAGCCTCCTAATGAGAAACAAAGGTGTCAGTAGCAAACTGTGTTAGTAACAATGGAAACAAATCTTTCTAATCAAATCTCTTGTGATAGGATTACAAATCAAGAAATGTGACAGATGAAGTTAAAAGTATTATAAGATTTGTTCAAGAGCACTGTGGACAAAGGGGAAGAAGAAATGCAGGCTCTGGAAGGTATACGTTGAACATGATGATTGACATTTTCTTGGGTAAGTTCTATTTTACTGCTCAAATATTTGGTGCAGGCCAAATCTTTGCTGTACACCTGAGGACCCATATAACAGGGGCAGAACTTAAAAAAAAATTACCAATAGGGTTCCTTCTTGAGAGTAATCCATGTGGCATGTGTCCTAGAATAAATAAAAATCCTAGCATTAACTAGACTAGATCAGGTAGAAAAAAAAATTTATTTTAGAAGTCTTCAAGCTTCTGCTGCTTGTTCAGTTTTTTGTGGTTCAAGTTATGTACAAAATGGCTCCATTGCCTTCTACAGTTTTGTAACTTATTGGCTTAGTTATAGACCAATTCTGTTTGTTGTTACTGAACAGGTTCGAAAAGTGCTAGGATTCAGTCTGGTATATTTGGAAAGGGAGCTGCCTACTCACGACATAATGCGGAAAGGCTGTTTAGAAAACTGGTACTGGATAAGATTCTCGAGGAAGATTTGTATATCACTGCCTCTGAGCAAGCAGTAGCATATGTAATGATAGGAGAGAATGCACAGGCTGTGCTAGATGGATATCTACAGGTGTGTAACAAGTTTCCTTTTTCTCTAATTCTACATTGGTGTTTCCTTTAAATAAAAATGCAAGTGTTACTCTTCTCTGCTTTTAATAACACACAGATACTTTGAATTCACACTGAGTGTCAGGATAGTTAAAAAATAAACATAACTTATTTCTATAGTCTCATTATTCAATAAGTTCAGGGTGCCTTGCAACAATTAAACTTCACTTGGCAAGAGTAATGGAATTTCCTACTTGTAGATAATGGAAATTGGGGATCAGAATTTTCTTATCACATATAGGGAATGTATTTCTGGAATCTGGTTTCCAGTCCACTGCTCTAACCAAGCACTTTTCAAGTGTTGGGGCGTGACTCAAAAAGTGGTCCATTAGAGGACATCAACAGTGTTACACCACACAGGGAGAGTTGCAAAAACTGGCAAAATCTTAAGATCCCTAGGTCTCAGGAGGAGCTAGTTAAGTGGAGGAAAGAAGCAACTCTCTCCTTTCCCTGAGGCTTTCTACCCTGCTGCTTTCTCTGATAACCCCAATCCATCAGCCAGTGCTTAGCTCCATGGAAAACCTCATTACAGGAAGCTGTGTTGCCAACTCCTGGTAGTTCCATGTTTAGAGCAGTTCTGTGTAGGTAGAGGTAAAAGAGAAGCTGCTTTAAGCACTTAGCTCTCAACAATATTCCCACAAGTGCAAGCAACCCTCACCCAAACTGGATGTGTGGTTTTGTTTGTTTTTTCCTGTGTTTTGTGGGACTAAGTTCACAATCCTTTAAAAAGGATTATGTCTAATAATCACATGACTTTGGGATCCCTGGTGAAAAAGCCCATGCACATAAAAAGGATCTTCTGTAGAGTTCTTTCTGTTTGTTATTGTCTTAAGGTAACTGCTTACCAAATGTTATCAAAAAATGAAAGTTCAATTTTAGTAGATGTTTTTACTGGCTTAAGGCCGGATATCTGCTGTTCAGCTGCTCTGCAATAATCTCTTCTCGTACAGATTAATGACTTATTTCTCATTTTTGCAGGTGGAGTTTTATGAAACTGAGAATGCCAGCAGTATTCGAAAGCAAAGGGCTTCAGTGACAAAAATGTCACAACGGGAAGAGGTGGTTAAGAAATGTCTTGTGGAACTTACAGATGTTTGTAAAACTCTTGGAAAAGTTTTTGCTGTCCATTATTTCAATATTTTTAACACTGCTACACTTAAGAAAATAGCAGGTAATTTTGATCTTCATGATCCAAAACTCAGAATTCATTCAGGGGTGAACTTACACTGTGGAGGGCAGATGTGAGAGAACCCTAATTGATTTCTCTCAGCTTGCTGTGGGCAGTCATGTACACGTTAGCCCACTGCTGGAAGAGTTGGTCTGCTGAAAGAGAGGCAAATGTGCTACTCTGCCTCTATTTCTTTAAACCCCTGTTCCTTAACTGCATTCTGATGTGCTCTTTGTTGCATATTAAGCTCTATAATGGCCCCTTGAAAAAGTATTTAAGATTGTTTGAATCAGTTTGTTCCTTGTTTAGTAGGTGAATGTGAGCTGGTAGTTCTGACATCCCTATTGATAGTCTTACGTGTTGCCCATCTTCCAACAAAATTCCAAAAATTCATCTGATTGTGTGTTAATCCTGTCTACACTTCACCTGAATTTTAAATCCACAACTGTTTCTTTGAGATTACAAGAAGTGTGCAAAATCTGTTTTGTGTTATGTACTTTTTATCTAATCACATTTCTTTGTCTGCATACAGAAACCTTGTCTTCTGACTCAGAGGTTCTGCTTCAGATTGATGGTGTTACAGAAGACAAACTGGAAAAATATGGTGCAGAAATCATTCAAGTCATGCAGAAGTACTCTGAATGGACACTGCCAGGTTTTGTATAATTTTCATCTAAATGGGCATGCTTTTGATTAAAAAGCCTTTTCTCTGTAAGAAGTTACATGAACAACATGTCCATGTTGAAATATGGGTTTATAGCATGTGTTTGGACTTTCATTTTAAAAAAGGCACATAGCTTTATGCAGCACAAGAGGGTCCTAAACTAAGAGGCAGGTGGTCGGGAAATAGAGGGATTCACTGTAACTCTTAAAGACCGTGGTGGATAACTGGACTTCAGATGTTCAGAACGAGAGGAGAAAAGTAAGATTGCTGGTTTTCTGACCCTCCTTTCAGAGCTGGGAACATAGATATTTTCAGTCTCAAGGTGTGTCTTCCACTGTTTTCTCATTCACATCATCTAGTTATGGGCTAGCATTGTAGCGTGAGTGAACAAATTACAGATTGAAATTTTCCAATGACTTGCGCTTTGGTCAACTGTAAATCTAGCAGAGAAAAGTGAAACATGATTCAATGGCTGGAAGCTGAGGCTAGACAAATTCAGGCTGAAAACGTGGTATAAATTTTTAGCAGTGAGGATAATTAGCCATTGGAACTATTCACCAAGGGTTCTGGTGGATTCTCCATCAATGACAATTTTTAAATGAAAATGGAATGTTTTTCTACAAGGCATGCTCTAAGAATTATTTTTTGAAAGTTAACCCAGTTGCCTAAGTTTTAACAAAATGTCCATTTGTAGAGAACACTGACTCTTACCAAACCGAGACCACAGACACTGGAGAATGTGAGAGTGAGGACACAGAGGGGACACACACAACTTCTAGCTATTTTTGCAATACCACAAACAAAGGAAAGAAGAGGAAAAGAGTGCCATTCTTCAGGGAATCCAAGAAGAAAAAAACAGGTTATGGTGGTAGCCAGCAGTCTTGTTCCAAGAGGTACGTGAATACTTGTAACCGTTTATCTAAAATAATATGAGAAAAATATCCACGAGACTGTTGGATTGAGGTTATTCTAATTCATTTATGTTGAAGAAGATAGTCAGTAGGAAAATGGAGAATGGGGAGAGCTGTTAACCTAACAGCATGAAAATATAGAACTGAAAATATCTATAGTTTCTTTATAGAAATCGTTACTGTATGATGACGATATTCCAGAGGCACACAGGACTCCTGTGGAGTCCCTGGATCTGGGAGGGACTCCTCTCACTCTGCTTTCACACAAGGCTAGAATACGGCATGCAGGGCAGATCATCTCTTCCTTGCTCTCCAGGAGGGCAGGAGTTTGAGAGGAAACATACCTCATGTAGCAGTGGGGAATGGATCCGAAGTGTAAGACCGAGCTTATGCACTCTCGCAAACTAAGGGTTTCACTCCACCAGTCTCATTTTGGTCATGTGAAGGTCCTGGTAGACTTACAGCCATCCTTTTAGAATTACAGAAAACTGAAGGATCCAGAGATGGAAAAATCTCAAATAATCATGCTGTTGTCAGATAATGGAAAAAAATATTCTGAGCTTAGCTCTACACCTTACTTTTGAAATCTCCTCCCCTAAAAATGAAATCAGGACATTCATTTCCCTGTTGTGATTTTCTTGCTGCACTCTTGAGCAATTATACCTTTTCTATGCTAATCAGCATGCCAGAGCCCTGAAATGTAAGTCATTACTAAATATTAGTGTTGTGGTTTTCAGTACTGTACCCAACTGCAGATGTGCTGCAGGGTCAAATGTTCATGTGTTACTTTGTCGCTCTGATCGGTGACATCTAACTTTCCCAAAAATTTGTATCTAAGTTGCATGCTCGGCAGCAGCGTTCAATTCTGATTTTAACTTGATTTAAATAGAGAGATGGGGTAAAAATATTTTAAGTAAATAATTAAAAACATAAAACAAGCCATAATTCCATTGGCATATCTTTCTACTGCTCTTGGAACTTTTGCAGGCAAAGCAAGAGATCTAGCAAAATGTAAAGAGCTGCTGTTGGGGATCTTTTGTTCATATTTTTTGCGTACTCACTTGGAATTAGTGCTAGAAAATGATCTCTGAAGCTTGAGATTGAGTTTTGTCTTTAGTGGTCCATTTATAAGCATTGTCATCCACCCCCTTTCTTGCCCATATAGCTGTGTCACTTCCTTAGCTGTATATTATAGAGCGGGGGAGGGGAACCTCAGGCCCTGGGTTGGATCTGGCCTCAGGCTCAGGGCCCACCCCCAGCACTGGGGAGCCCGTGCTGTTGCTCCTGCCCCCCAGCTGTCCTCCTGGGGACTGGAGCACACACAATCTACTAGGCTGCCCTTCCCCCCTAGGCTTTGGTGTGCAAGGGGAATGTGGGGAGTATCTTTCTCCTTCTCAGTCGGGCCACAGTGAGGGGTTTTTCCGCTTCTCACTTGTGTGTGGCCCTCGACTGATTTTTCTGTGGTGGTCAGTGGCCCCTGGCCCAGAAGAGTTCCCCACCCCTTCTATAGATAATAGGTAGCATTAAATTTTGTTTCTTGTGCTTCATTTGCTCACTATGGATACATATGTACCACCTGAACAAAGCAACTTTGCCGGTCTTCCATTCACAGTAGCTATTTAAGCACTGATTTTTTTTTTTTGGGGGGGGGGGGGGGGAGAACAGCAAGGAGAAGTTTGACATGTAGAGGATATTTCCCCAGAGATTGGAGCTTAACATGCATGGTAGTATGCAGCTTACCTTTCTGGATTAAATGAACGTAGGCCATAACAGCAGTGTTTTAAAACATTTGATAGAGAAGGTTGAAGCTAAAATGACTCATGAGAGAGAAACTGCATTTGATGCACTGATATCATTTGCAAACATCTTATTTTAACCCAATTTTCATCAAGATGAAGTATATTAAAGTGGGGGAAAAACTTGAATAATGTTAATATGTAGCAGTAATTTGAGTCTAAAGACACTGGAAAGTAAATGTGGCTAAACATTACCTTCAGAAAACTAGAGGAAGCTGGAAAGCACAGAAAAATTGGCCTCAGTAAGCCATTCAGAGAGCAGTCTTCAAAAGTGAGACCTTGAATTTTTAACACAATCCTAAAGAAACAATTAGCACAATAAATATCATTTTATTTGTCACAGGCTAATAGTAACTCTACAGTACAAATCACATACTGTGTGACAGTAAAGTATATAAAAGATAGGAATATTAATGGAGGTCCTTAATTGATGTGGGTCAATCTGACTTAGATGGGAACACCTTGGACTCTGCAACAGAAAGTCCTAATGCTGCTCCTATAGAGCTTCACTGTATCCACAGTCTTGTATTAAGAGACTCCAATGTTAAAAATACTCTCCTTTGAATGAGAACACAGATCCTTTCTCTTCTATTGTACCATTCATTACTATAAAGCACTCTGACTCTGAGACGCATTGACTGTGAAGGGTAAATATTCTATTCCAACATGTTGATTTCATCATTTTATGCAAGTACTTTATATATTTGCCCACTTACTTTCTCAGTGGTGCATTATGATTTGCACTAGAGATGAAGATTGAGGTACAGCAATATCAACACCTCTATAGAAATAGACCTTTGTATATTAGCTAATAACTGTAATTACATTAGCATCTGTATATATATATATATATATATATATGATTCCCACCTTCTCAGTGCCCTTAGGCAAGACATGTTTATTCTGTTTTTATTTTTGACTTGGCAAAGGAGATGATTCCCCACTATTCACAAAGATTGCTTTTGCCAGTAGTCAGAGGTATTTTTAAGTAGCTTGCAGAGCTGCATGAACAAACATCCTAGGTCCACATAAGAAAATAATGAAATGTATGTGAGACGACCAAAGGTTACCTTCTTGTTTACTTGGAGATGTTATTCGCGCTTACCCTCTAAAAATGTAGTGTAGTGTTCCAGGCACAAAACATTGTGGCATCCCACCCCAGCAGGGAGTAATAGTGAGTGAAACAGATAGAGGGGGAACTGGTCCTATAGTCAGGTTGTCTAGCACTTTCTGTTATAAAGGATTCTTCTGTCCTGTTTGTGAGAGACGCTCTCGGACCTCCGTGATTTGCAGCAGGCCTTTAATAGTTGGCTTGAGCTAGGGAAGTGCCTTTTCTTTGTTCCCTGAAATTCCATTCACCTTTTTGCTGAAATACAAACTATTTAAAATTGCCATTTCCCTTTTCCTGTTTACTTTGCTCATCATGAGAAAAGAACTGAAATCAGTAACATTCCAGAGTGCTTCTCACCACCACCACCAAATCATTAGCAGGGACTGGACTTGGAGTTGTCATGGAGCATCTGTACATTGGGCTGGGGCTGAGTTGGGCTCCTGGCACCCAGCAGATGGCACCAATAGGTTCATAGCTCTCTCTGGGTGTACCGCATGAGGCAGAAACCAGGCTGGTCTCTTCTCCATCCTTCCTCCGTGAGTATCTGGCCATTGACACACGGTCCCCGTGGATTCACCATATTGGGCAGGAGCACCAAGTCCTGGCGAGGAATAGAAGGCTAAGCTGGACTTGACTCCATCCTTCCTGCATCTACTATCTGTAATATTATTTCTGCTCTCTTGTGCATATGCATTATGGAACAGTCTAAGAATATGATTATATGCAGTTTTTTCTCAGGATTCCTAACCATTCAGTGTATACAATGGACAGACACATGAGTATGCGGAATTGTTACACAGCAACCATAGATCTGGCATTTCTTAACGTCTTTGCAATTTAAACAGGATTCTGTTAACAGGCTTTGTACATAACTCCTCTACAGTCTGTTCAATGCTTTGGTAGCTTTCTACATCAGAGGGATCGAACAGAGGGCCAAATTCTAGAGTTAGTTACAGTCCTTGAGTCTAGCTATGGAACTAGGATTATCTACTCAATGCAGTGGAACACCTACTGATGTCTGTGAAAATTACCTACTAACATCAAGAAAAGACAATGGCCTGTATGCACTAAATGTTGCCTTCATTGTGATAAAATAGCCTCTCCTTTAATCCCACTACTGTGCCTGCCCTTTCTCTTTTTCTCTCCCCGTTTTCTCTGGATTTTTTTTCTCTGAAGAAACTACCAATTTCCAATCCGTTGAACTTTTCTACCATTCCATTCAGTAAAATGATCTGTGATTTCAATATTGAAGATTCACTGACATGTCATTTAAAATTGATATACTAATCAGATTAACAGGGGACTTCATCCTTTCTCATGACTGTTTCAGGCTCTCTCACAGCTTATGTTGGATTTCGTTCATGTTTAAAAGATTACCTCTGCAGTCATGGGTGTTAAAAATCCACTTTTGTTTTTAAATGAAAGATTCAATTCTGAAAAATATGAATGTTATGAGAGCCACAAATATATCATCCAGGTGGATTTGGCACCTGGGCCATCTATTTAATGCTCCTGTTCTAGATAAAATGTAACATACAGGATTATGGTATTGGGTATCATATTGATATGCTAGATCATAATTTTTCCTCTAAATTTCCAGGGGTAACGTCAACAACAAAAAGACCTCTTCTAACTCCAAATTCCAGGCATCCTCAAGATACAATTCAACATCAAATGGTACTACAGTTACGCCAGGAACCAGAAGAAAACTGGGGATTATGGCGCCACCAAAACCCCAAAACAGACAATTCCTTAAACCTTCCTACTCACTATTGTAAATACTGTGTAAAGCTGCAAGTAGTTAACATTTCCATTAACTTCCCATTTTTCAAATGTATTCAAATTTTGACATTTGTAAGTACAAAGGTTGTATTTGTTTAAATAAATGCTTTTAGATAAATGCATTTCTTTATTTGGAACTTTTAATTCATCCCTGATGCTAAATATTCTTATTATAAAAAGAACTTGCTAATTTTGATTGATTTATAGAAGACTACATTATAGAACAGTGATGGGCAACCTAGGCTAGTGAGTAGGTCATAAAATCACAGAATATTAGAACTGGAAGGGACCTTGAGAAGTCATCACGTCCAGTCCCCTGCCCTCATAGCATGGTCTAAATCATCCCTGATAGTAGCCGGCCCTGGGGACTGGATTATATCAACTCCTTTGGCCTTGGTGATATAGAGGGGGGTTGTCTGCTCTGTAACCCGGGGTCCCTGCGCTGTGCGATTCCCACTGACTCACCCACATGGGGATTAGCCCAGACACCCAGGCCCAGCCTGACCAGATGATAAAGCGCTTCCCGGCGGGGGGGAGGGAGAGAAAAGGAGGGAGGTAGAGATGAACACCAGGTTTTGGGGGAAGGGTCAGTTGCTGACTAGGAAACATGAAGGAAACAGTCTAAGCTGAGGGTCTAGGGGGGGCAAGGGACCCCCTAATCTAAGGGGTCTGAGGCATCCTGGTCATGACTCCTGTAACCACATCATGTCTGTGCTGTGCTGTACCCTGGAGAAGCAATAAACCCTCTCTATTCTACTGGCTGGCGGAGTCTGTTCTTGCTGCTGCAAGATCAGGGGGAACCCCAACTTGCCGTCATATCCACCACCTCCCTAGGCAATTTATTCCAGTGTTATATCATCCTGACAGGAAACTTTTTATAATGTCCATCCTAAACCTCCCTTGTTGCAGTTTAAGTCCATTGCTGCTTGTCCTATCTTCAGAGGCCCAGGAGAACAATTTTTCTCCCTCCTTTTTGTAACTCCCTTTTAAATACAATAAAACTTTTGTTATCTGGTACTCTGTTAACCAGAAAACTTTAACTGGCATTGCCCCCAGCCACAATACTGTCACATTTTCAGGCCTGGCTTGGTTTACCATGATTGGCTTAATTTTTTATTTAAGAAGTACTAATCATCTTTAACTCAAAATAGAAATGAGAGACCAACTGCCTCACACTATAAAACTACCAATACAGTAATTACTCATTTAACATGTGCCTGCTTAACACTTTTTCGCAGTAGCACAATTTTTTTAGGGAACATTTTTCGAATAACACGACCTTTCCCGAAATAACACGAAAATAATCAAGTGGCGGACTGCTTTGCTCGGTGGTATAAGTTGGTGAAAACAGCGGTAATACGCATGAGTGGATGAATTCACGTGGTCACAGCGCTCCTCTCCTCACTCACGTGTTTATCTGTGTGTTTTAACAAACTGCAGTGACTTGTATTGGTAGATATCTAATGTTGACATTGACGACCCAGCACCAAAACAGAATTGACTTCGCTATCACCTCCTGAAATGCAACCCCCACCTTTTCCATTATTTTTAATGGGAAAATTGACCCTGCATAGCATGCTTTTGCTTAGCACAAACATTTTCAGAAATGCATCTATTGTGTTAAATGAGGAATTACTGTATTAAAAACTTGAGTTTTACTATTATTGTCCATTGGTTTTTCCTAGGTTGACGGGACCCTCAGATAACTGGAACTTTTAGATAACCGGAACGCCCTAATCCCTGAGTGACGGATAACACAGAATTTACTGTACTAGAAAACTGCTATCAAGTCCCCTTTCAGTCTTCTCTTTTCCAATCTAAACAAGCCCAATTCTTTCAGTCTTCCCTTATAGTTCATGTTTTCTAGACCTTTAATCATTTTTGTTGCTCTTCATTGCACCTTCTCCAATTTCTCCACATCTTTCTTGAAACATGTTGCCCAGAACTGAACACAGTACTCAATTGAGGCCTAATCAGCGCAGAGTAGAGCAGAAGAATGACTTCTTGTGTCTAGCTCTCAACACTCCTGTTAATGCAGCCCAGAATCATGTTTGCTTTTTTTGCAACTGTCATACTGTTGACTCCTATTTAGCTTGTGGTCCATGGTGACTCTCTAGATCTCTTTCTGCAGTACTCCTTCCTGGACAGTCACTTCTCATTCTGTATGTGTGAAACAGATTGTTCCTTCCTAAGTGGATTTGTCCTTATTCAACTTCATCCTATTTACCTTGGACCATTTCTCCAGTTTGTCCAGATCTTTTTGAATTTTGACCCTATCCTCTAAAGCACTTGCAACTCCTCCCGACTTGGTATCATCTGCAAACTTAATAAGCACACCTGCTATGCCAATATCTAAATCGTTGATGAAGATATTGAACATAACAGGTTGCAAAACAGACCCGAGGAACCCCACTTGTTCTGCCCTTCCAGCATGATTGTGAACTGTTAATAACTACACTCTAAGTCAGGGGTGTCCAAACTTTTTTCAAAGCGGGCCAGATTTGAAGAAGTGAACATGCGTCAGGGCCATCCCCGCACTCTCAGCCCCAAGGTGGAGGGCCCGCAGGGTCGGAGGCGGGCGGAGAGCGCAGGGCATGCCGGCCTCACGGCGGCCAGGGGGCAGGGCGAACCTGCAGCCGAGCGGGGGAGCGGGGCTGCGGACGTGCCCTACAGGGCAGGCTCTAGGACCGCGGAGGCCATGGGCGGCGGGGGCACGGCCGGGCGGGCGGAGGCCATGGGCGGCGGCGCGGCCGGAAGCGGCGCGCTGGGCTCGCCAGTTCAAAAGAGCGCCGGGGAGCCAGGAGAAGGAGAGGAAGCGGGGGCTGTATTAAATCGGAACACGGGCCGCAATTGGCCCGCAGGCCGGACTTCGGACATGCCTGCTCTAAGTGGTTATCTAGCCAATTACACACCCACCTTATAGTAGCCCCATCAAGGTTGCATTTCTCTAGCTTATTGATAAAAATGTCATGCGAGACTGTATCAAAAGCTCTACTAAAGTCTAGGTATACCACATCCACTGCTTCTCCTGTGTCCACAAGACTTGATATCCTATGAGATTGCTTTGACATGATTTATTCTTTAAAAATCCATGCTGGCTGTTACTGGTCACCTTATTTTCTTCCAGATGTTTGCAGATGATTCCTTAATTACCTGCTCCATTATCTTCCGAGGCACAGAAGTTAAACTAACTGGTCTATAGTTTCCTGGGTGGTTGTTTCCCTTTTTATAGATGGGCACTAGATTTGCCCTTTTCCAGTCTTCTGGAATCTCTCCTGACTTCCATGAATTTTCAAAGATGATCGCTAAAGGCTCAGACACCTCCTCTATCAGCTCCTTGAGTATTCTAGGCCCTGGTGACTTGAAGACATCTAACTTTTCTAAGTAATTTTTAACTTTAACTTCTAAACCTACCCCATTTCCACTAGATTTCCCATGTTAGGCATCCCTTCATCATCAAACTTCTTGGTGAAAAGTTTCCTCTTGTTGTTTCTCCTTCCTCACTGAGCAATGGGCTTATACTGTCCTTGGTCTTCCTTTTGCTCCTAATACATTTATAGAATATCTTCTTGTTTCCCTTTATGCCCCTAGCTAGTTTTAGCTCATTTTGTGCCTTTGCCTTTCTAATCTTGCCCCTGCATACGTGTGTTGTTGCTTATATTCATCCTTTGTCATTTGATCTAGTTTGCACTTTTTATGACTCCTTTTTGATTTTGCAAGATTGCTGTAACCAAAATGGTATTCCATGGTGGGGCAGTTTTAACTGAGCTTGCGTACCTAGAATTTGTGGGGTGTGCCAACTGAACCGTAGCAGTGCTTTGACTAGGTGCAAAGGGAGTACATTGCTCTGACAATCTACGTTGTGTGCAAAAGCTTCAGAGGGGTAGCTGAGTTAGTCTATAGCTGGAAAAACTTAAACAACAAAGAGTCTAGCAGCACCTTAGAGAATAACAGAACATGTAGATGGTACCATGAGCTTTCGTGGGCACATCCCACTTCTCTCCTCTTGCCCCGCACCAGATGGCTTGTAAAGTGATCACATACCACGTCTTATGGCGCCTCAGAGACACAGTAAAAGCTTCAGGGGGAAGTCAGTTAGTCTGTAACAGGAAAAACCCACTTCTTGTGCCTTAGCTTTTTCCCTCCAAGTATTACTACAGTGATAGGCATGTAAAGCGATGTGGACAAAAGCCAGGGAAATCTGGCAACCCTGCACATGGGCTATAGCAAACTGTTTCACAGGCCACAGGTTACCCACCACTTTTACAGAAGTTTAGTGATTAATCATTGTAAGAGTGCTTTCTGTGAGCACTGCCTCTCTGATCTCACACACACAACTATATGATGTTGCTCAAAACCATTTACCAGCTGTGATGGCTGGAGCCATAAACCTCATTGACCATACTTACAAAGGACGATATCCTTCATTAACTCTAGGTCAGCTAGTTGGTCTTGAATTGTTTTCTACACAAAATCTAGGTCTCAGTACGAGTATTAGTTTTAGGTGTTAGATTTAGCTGTCTTCTGTTTGATTGTATTGGATATTTCCCCATGTCTGCTGGGTTTAACAGCCCCTTGGGTTATCTGAAGGCCTTGTCTAGAATGTGTGTGAAACTTTGTGGTCTGCTCATACAGCGCCTATGTGATGACAAAGGGCATTCTTTGGATCTTGGATTGTGCTGTCCTTTCCTGCAGAGGTTCAGAAAACCCTCTGTCCTCTTGAGAGCTGAACAGTCTCCATGTAGTGCAATTTATCAAGTGTGGAGGTATTGCCTTTCACCCCTATGCAGTTATTTAAATGCTTCAGAGATTTTTAAGATCAGAAAGGACTATTCAGACTCTCCTGCTCTTATTTCTAGTTTAAATTTGTCTAACTTAATTCCTTGCTTTGTTTTCTAGCTTTAAAAACATTTGGTAAATTCTGCTCTCTGAGTAGATGCTTGTAGACCACAATCAAGTCACCACTTAATCTTCTCTGTTGATAAACTAAATAGATCTTTCTTTAGTTTCATTAAAGCAGGTTTTTCATACTGCTAATCAAAGCTGTTTTCTGAACTCCTTCCAGTTTGTCAGCATAGGCTTCTTCCCATACATTGGCTTCACTTCCACCCTACCTAGGTTATTACATGGACTTCTCCACCTCTCCTAGGCAATGGAAAAACACAGAAATTCCCATATTTAAGATTCTCAATGAGATGACCAACATATGTGGTACTATAGATATACTTCCTGTGTTCCCACTGGTCATACATGCACATTAAACAAGCAAAAAAAAAACAACCCCCACTTCAGTTGTACAGAACACCAGGCATTTCCTTGGCAAGGACCCATTCATTACCTTCTCGAAGATTTCCAAAGAGGAAGGGAAGAGTCTACTTAAAGGGTCCCTTGCCCACTTGTGAGTTTCCGAACTCAAATCAAAATGATGTGGATTCATGTTTCCAAAATCTGATAAATCTAAGAGACAACTGTGACGTAGTGGGGGTACCTGGCTGGTGTTTATGCTGCTGGCTCTGGGGTCACTATGCAAACCAGTATGGCCAGACACCCCCCATGGAGAGGAACAAAGGAAGGTGGAATGCTGCCCTGGCTGGGGGGCAGGGCTGGAAGAGGGTGAGTTAGTTACTGTCTGGGAGCATGGAGGAGACAGCCTAGGGAAAGGGGCTGGAGTTTAGGGGCCCAGTCTCCCCCATCTCAAGGGGGCCTGAGGCATCCTAGCCCAGCTCTGTGACCAGACTACATCTGTGCTGTGCTGTATCCTGGAGAGGCAATAAACTTCCTCTAGTCCACCGGCTGGTGCAGTCTGTTTGTGCCATTTCGGGGTGCAGGAGACGGGGGACCCCCAACGCGCCGTCACAACAACTTACTGTCCTTCATTGCCAGAAGTTCTCATTCATATTTCCCTGGAGTTAATATTTAAGACTCTCAATGAGATGACGACAAACATCCTATTTTCCATCCTCATCTGGCAACACTGTTTAACCCGCTGAGGATAGTAAAGTCCCTCACCTGATCTCTACTCAACACCTACATTTTCCAGTACAGTACTGAGGCAGGTTTTGAATGAGCCAGGCAATGTGCTTTTTACCCATATGGTGCCATGCTATTCTAGTCTGATTGGCCATTACCACTGATTACATTTCATCCCATTATTTTTACCTATTACTCCTCCCTCATTAAATGCTTACTTTCTAATCCATCTCAATCACCACAGGATTATGTGCTTGCAGAAGCATGTTACTCCAGCCTGATTTTATTGAGTGTATGCTAAGACATTCCTGGGCCTCTGGCTAGAATTGCCAACTTGCTACTGACACACAAATGAACACACTTGCCTCCTGTTGTGTGCGTGCTCCATCCTGCCCTCATTTTCACCAGGCTGGCTCAGAGGGTTGGTGTGTGGGAGGGGGTGAGACCTCTGGCAAAGGGTATGGGGTGGGGCCAGAAAAGAGGTGTTCCAGGTGTGGGTAATATCCTGAGGCAGGGAATTAGGATGGGGACCGTAAGGGCTCGGGGCACATGGGGATGAGAGGTTTGGGGCTGCAGGAAGGGGTTCCCAGCTGGGGGATGGGACTGAGGGTTCAGGGTGGGGGCTCTGAGGGTTAGGCAGGGGGTAGGGATGCCAGTGAGACGGGGATCGGAGTTGGGTGGGGCTCCTGGCTCAGGCAGGGGGTTTGGGTGGGGCGAGGTGTCTGGGGCTCCCAGCAGAGGGGTGGGGCGAGGGAATCGGAGTTGGGAGG